AGTAAAAGAAAAAAAGAAAGAAAATTGTACAGCAAAATGTGTCGGGTCATTCTACTTTTAAAACATGTGGGAGTGAGGTGGTGCAGTGATATTTGTGTGTATGTAGAATGAGTTTATGTGTGTTTAAAGCATTCAGTGTTTGTCTACAGACAATTACAAACAAACAAAACCTCATTGACATAAAGCAGATGCTCCTCATACCCCCAAAAAAAACAACCCACTTCACTGGTATCAAGCAGATGCTGACTCAGAGCGACCTTCACAGGAAGAGTAGAGCTTCCCTGGTGAGTTTCAGAGATGATAATGCTACTGTGCAGGAGTAGAAAGCCCAGTCTATCTCCTGAAGAGTAGCCGGTGGTTTCAAAGGTTGCTGAACCTTGAAGGTAACAACCCAATGCATAGCCTCTATGCCACCAAGACTTCATGGATACCCTGTTTAGTGTTGTTGAGACTATAACTCTCTATGGGTACAGATATGCTCAAATTTTTCTACTGCACTGGCCAAAGTGTTTGAACTGCCTACCTTGTGGTTAACAGCCCAGTGCCAAACACAGTGTCATCAGGGCTCCTGTATGCATTACATGCAGGTAGATTAATGATTCAAAAGAATGTATACCAACTGACAGCTATAGAGATGATGAAAAGACAACACTCCTGTCAGCTGGAGGTAGACTATATTCCATGGAATAAATACTTCTGTATCAGTAGGAAGGCATTAATGGTTCTTTGACTCACTATATTTCTATGGTCTTCTTCCTCCCACGTCATTTCTCTTTGTTCCATTGCTGCCATCTCTTTGCCAGCTTTAAATGTCACAGATTGTCTCTCCCTCTCTATCTTACATGATATCGAAGGAGCACAGGTGATGAAGTGCTCACATCTTGGGCTGTGATCCTCAAGATCAGCCATTTGAAATCACCAGCCGCTCCGTGGGAGTGAAGTGGAGTTTAGTGGTAGAACATGTGCTTTCTTTGGGATGCTCTTTCATGTAAATCTGACCCAGCGCACAAGCGCCAAGAAGCCAAGACTCTTCAGCATGCTTCAAAACTTAGTCTGAATCCAGAACTAAAATTTTCTGACCAAAAGGGCTGTGGGGCATACTGAACAGGTACAATTTTGACTTATTTACCTTTCAAAAGCAGAAAAACATGAAACCCAATTCATAGACACCAAGCCAATCCCAACTCAGCATGATCCTATAAGACAGAATAGAACTGCCCCCTGTGGAATTCCAAGACAGAAAGCCTCGTGTTTCTCCTGTGGGGTAGCTAGTGGGTCAAACTGCTGGGTTCATGATTCAGCCCAGTGCATAGTCACTGCAACACCCAGGCGATGGTTTCTGAAATCAGTCGGCAGGGGGTTGGATGGTGACTGCTTCATCCTTGGGTAGGACTCTGAGGAGACATTTAATCTCTTAGCTCCTCCTTTATCTTCGTATGTAAAACTGTAAATAAAAGTACCTAGCTCATGATGATTGAGATAGTTAGTTTATTGTGCCAGCCTGGCCAATAAACACAAGTGGGATTAATTGAAGGGCAGAGAGATAAATAGCTCAGCGAGCCTCACCTTTCTTGTCTCTTGCTCTTTGATCATCGGACCAGTGTGCAGCTGCCTTGCTTGTTCTGTGCCTTAATTTACAGGCTATACTACCTGTGGGATGCCTAGCCTGTGGACTGTGTTGCTGTAAGTTAAGATCCCTTTAAGACCACATGATTGAAATTTACATCTCTGGAGCTGAGGACTGACAGTTGGTGACCTGGCTGACAGTTGGTGACCTGCCTGGCTGTTTTGCTGCCTGTGCTGGGATAGCCTAACTCTCTCTTTACAGAGGACTACCGGATGGCCCTCAAGACTTGAAGGACTGCCAGTGTCCCACAACTCTCTCACGGGAGTGAGTTGCACTGAGCCATTGGTACTGCTTTATAATTTAACTGTTCATTTCTTGTATTATATATCGATCTATCTGTTCATAATTTAACAGTTCTTTACTTGTGTTATATATCTACTATCTGTTTATAGTTTAGCAGTTCATTTTTTGTGTTATATATATCTATCTTTATAAATATAAATATAAAATTATCAGCAATCTGGTTTTATCTCTCTAGAGAACCCTGTATAACACAATGATGTTAAGACTTAATGAGAAAACACCATGCTCTTGATAAAATATCAACATACATCAAATAGTGGTTAATCTATAATTACTTATCATTGTTATATGACTGATTTGGATGAAAACATTTTATTTCTAGAAGTATGTATGCTCTAAACAAGTGCTTTTGAAACTTTAGAAAGAAATCTATTAGTAGATAGTATTCCACATTGAATAAAATGACTAAAGTAACAAAGAGTGCATTATACATAAAAGTGGTGGGTGACATATATATTAAGTATTCTGCCACTAGCCAAATGGTTAGCCGCTTGAAACCTCTCGGAAACACCTCCGATGAAAAGCCTCGTTATCTGCTTCTGAAATATCACTGTCCTAAAATCCTATGAAGCAGCTCTAGTATGCATGGAATTGCTGGGAGTTGGTACCAACTTGACAGCAACAACTACCAGTAGCAATATGTATGTTACTATCTATTGTTTGTGGTGGCCTGAGATCAAATGAGTGTGTATGAGATATTCTAACCTGAACAAACATGACAAACTCAAAAACAAATGAAACTTCCCTTGTCCTCTAAGTTCTCAAGTCTGCTCCTTTCAAATAAATTAAGCAGAAGCTAAAGAATCGTGGAAACATGTTGAACTGATGATTCTTCTCAAAACTCTAAGTGTTGGGCCACAAGGAGAAGTCAGGGGACAATGGTCAGAGAGATGCTGCATTAAGATTGGAGCAGGGTATGGGGGCTGGTTAGAACTAGCCAAGCTTAAACATTAGGTGTTAGTTTTTGTTTGAGAAAGTTACTGTTAATTCAAGTACTTAGAATTGTGATGAAGGTCTTTGAGGTACCTTTAATCCTGTCACTTGGCAATTCTAATTTAGGGAATGATCAAGGAGGAAACTTCATAAAGCTTAGCCATATTAGATGCAAAAAAAAGTGAAATTATTTTCATGTTTTCTAGAACATTCATGTAGTATGTCTATGTATATTAAAAAATTCACTTATACTGTCTCTCCAAGAATATTTTTTTACTCAGGATAAGACATAGTTGTCAAGAACAATAAAGATAAAATACAATAATAATTAAATTACATAAGAGAAAAAAAGACTTCAGACAAGAATTAGACTCTTTTAGATACTGAATTGTCAGTAATCTGTAAGATATGCTTTTTAATTTTTTTTGCATGTCATTAACTATATCTAGAAACCACTTGTAATTAACTGTTATAAAGTAACAGTGTAAATGGCTATTAGTTATTTTGTCATCTGATATTTCCTGCTGTAATGCAATATGTTATTCGTTATTAGTACTTAAAGTTTCAACATAGCCAACCACTTAACATTAATCAGAGAAGTGATTATTTAGAAAATAGCACTCAACAAGTATAATGTTAAAATTCACTCTTTTCCTAATTTCAATTGAAATATATTTGTAGTGCTAATTGTAAAAATTACAGAACTATTTCCACAGAGGATTCTGTTATAATATAAACCATATCCTGCAAATTGTATGTGCATTGGGTAATGCACACAGGAAATCACAATTTTGAACATAGTGGCTAATTTGTCTATGTATGTAGGTATAAAGGAAAATAAAAGCATATCTGTAGATCATTTTCCACAAATAAAAAAGTTAGGTTTGCAATGCCACCATTAAACCATCATTCCTCCTGGGGAGGGTTCCTATAGGCTACGTGGTAACCACTAGAGAACTAGTGTATATACCCTCTTGAAGATGGACAATAAAAATTAACCTATTATTGCTCCATTGGGTTTTTTCCATAAGACTCATAGACAAATTATTGTTCAATTCTTGCTATGAGAGTTTGAGTAATTATTTTCTTACCCTTTAATCTTTTTTCTTGAATCTATTTTCTTACCCTTTAAACTAAATAATTCCTTCCAAAGTTGTGTTTGCATCCCATCCTCACAGGTAGATGAGCAGATATGCTAATGGCCATGGGAGTAATAGGTAAATCAAGAGATAGATAATAAGTTTGGAACAGCCATATGGGAGTTGTGACATTGATGATCCATGATGAATTCCACCTCGGTTATCTGCATTGTTGTGTAGTCCCTTCAAGGAGGTCTGGCAAGGTCAACAGTGGGTTAACAGAGAAAGCTGCAGGATTAACCTCTCCGATATGCAAAGTAGCCAAGTTCTGCTCCGTGCTAGAGGTTCATGAGCCAGATTGGCCTCAATAGCGGTGGCTAGGAGAGTCACCTTCCACAGTGCCTCTAGAGTTGGCAGTGAGAGTTAGATCGTCTGTTGGGACATTAGCAAATATGACAGAGACCGTGGTACAGAAGTATTTGCACTTTGGCATTGAGTCACTCAGAATGCACTACTGCCATATAGGAGATCCAAGCTAGTCTACTGGAAGGTCATGTAGTGGAAAGTCAATATATCTGAGCCAACAGTCCCTAGTAGAAGGAATCTTAGATCAGTTGGTCTCAGTTGAGCCACTACATGACTGCAGTTACATAAGGATCCCAATAAAGAACATCAGAACAACACACCTGAACCAAGTCCAAAGTGCAGAATTTTTAGCAAATAGTTCTTCAGGTCACTAAATTTGAAGCTATTTCTTACTCAGTAATAGATAACTGATAAAACTTTCTGATAGGATACAACCTCTGTTCTAGGGATATTGCTATCAATAAGAGATGATGAGAAGAAGCCTACCACACAAACTGAAAACATATACTACTTGACAACAAATCAGGAAAATAGCAAATGTGCAAACCATAATTAATAAACACAATTTTAAATAGTATAGCAAACAAATGTCATTGTGAGCACATTGTCTATGCTGGCTTACAATGTTGTGTTTATAGACACAACAAGAAACATTTATGTGATTTAAAGGCAATTTTACTTTGGGGACTTACTGAAACATGATCTCCCATGAAGCATGTGCTGGAAAATCTTGCACAAAGACTCTTCGCCTTGTGTAATGGACCTACAGGTGCACTGCACTTGCAGGACCGTCCCAAAGGTCCCAATGTAAGCTGCTTTGCAGTCATTACTTCCGGAGCAAGTGAGGTCTTGCTTGCTTAAGGTGCTGATGCAGGTCTCATCGTCATGGCACTTTATAGTCACATGCTGCCAACATTTTGACTTAAATATCCTATAGCGCCCCCTAGAAAACAATCGAGGTGAGTTAGCCTCTAAATAATAGTATTTCACATTCATTTGTACATTCAAACAATAAGGAGTGAGGAAGAAAAGTCAAAGGAGCCTTGTGACTGATTTCTGTTTATGATAAAACACAGAGACTAAGTCTAGGATTTCTTGGATAGACTTGCTTCCTTACTAATGTCCTTTTAATGGATCCTGGTTTGCAATGGAAAGATTTCTTAGAATTTTCTTGTTTTTGTTTTCTTTAGAAGCAGAATGTAGTTTTTTTTTGGCTACAGGTAGCCATTGTCGGACATCAAGGGCCCTGAACTTCCAGACCAGTTTCCCACACAGTAGGAAGTACTGTACTGTATTCTGCTTCAACAATTTGAAGCAGACTAAAGAAAATTTGAGTCTCTCTAGCAGTAAGAGCTAACTTCTAACAAAGCAAACAGGTTTCTTCGTTGGCCAAGTAAGTCCATTAGAACCACTTCGATCCATTACTTCCCTAAGTGCATATTGGCTTCTTGCTATTATATCTTTGCATGAGAGTATGGATATGGTATAGCAGTGCTATTTTATTTATTCATTAAAACATTTTTAGACCCTGAGTTTTACCGCAAAGACTAGTGGCCAATTAAGAAGTCATCCAGAAGAACTCACGTGGACTAGAAGTCTTTCATGTTGGGAATCAGAAAGATTTTCATTCAGTGATTTCCAGCTCTCATTGATGCAGTAACACCCTGTTATTGTAATTTTATTATTGAAATTTCAAAGGGAGTATTCTTCTCAATGGAACCAAGAATTTGGTTCCACCTAATATTTATCACCTAAAATTGTTTTTTTTTTTCCCTTTTGAATAAGTCATCTTTTGACTTGTATGAAAGTTCACTGAGTACATGATATTTATTGTGAGTTTCTTTTTCCGCATGATGGAATAATAATAAACTACATTGTTTCCATGAATATATTTTCAGTCATTTTTTAGGGAATCTGCTTTTAAATACAGTAAAATAATTATTTCATATTAAGGTATATACTTAAGGAAATACCACAATGAGTGCATAATTCTGAAACTAGAAGAAAAAGATATGTTCCTTTAATGTCATTGGGGTTTTTATCTCTATACACACACTAATCCATATAAACATTACATCCCATCTAAGTATAAATATTGGCAGTTTTGCAGGTTGGTGGAGTGGCACGTACATGATGTTTAATCTTTTTTAAATGTGTTTCATGAATAGTAATTTGAAATTTATATTTACTCAGTAGGAAGGCCTGACATGGTGGGATAAGCATTTGGCTTCGAACTGCAAGGTCAACAATTCAAATCCATCAACTGCTCCACATGAGAAAGATGAGTCTTACTTTCCCCCACATACTTCGTTTCAGAAATGCTACTAGAGTTGAATGAGTCAGAACTGAGTTGGTGGCAGTGAGTCTTATCTACTCAATATGCTATTTCATTCAAAAATTAAATTTCTAGTGGCGTGCATGCCTGGCCTAATCATCCAGCTGGGGAGCCGGCAGGGGATGGGGGTGGGGTGAGCCTGGCAGGGTTCTTGGAGTCATAGAGATGCACCCCCACACACAAAAATTTTATTCTACTGACAATGCAAAATTTAAGAGAATGTGGCCTTCATAATTTCTGAAGTTTTCTGAATAGTTTACATTTGCATTTATAACAATACATATAGTCAAATTTTATAAATATTCCATAACATTTAAAATCAATATTTTTTCTGAGCAAATAATGATTTTATATATTCTTCAGTTCATACATAGGTAATATAATGCATTTATTTTAAATGAGGTCCTAAACATTTATAATTTATAAAACATTACCACATAACCCAATAAGTCTTTTTATTAGATAAACTTAATTGAGAAATGGCTTATACATACATACATACATACATCAATTTCAAAAAGTACTTAAGAAAACATCATTAATTTAAGCTGAAATCAGACAAGAAATTATATTATCAATTTGCACCTTGCATGGGGCTCTTGTGCTAAAAGGTGGATGACAGAGGGTTTAACATCCTCATGGAAGAAGTGGTTTTCCATTCGGAGATTTTACATCTGATTTACATGAACAATAATCTAATAGAAAATAATGGAGTTTCCTAAGGCAAAATTTGATTGAGAATATGAAAGGATTTATCTTTTTCACTTAGACTACTCATAGTGCATGACGACTATATTATCACAATAATATTCATTTCAGGATTATTAGCACATGCCAAAAGAACATGGAAGTCACCTAGCCCATATACTCTGCACCAACCTAAGAAAGATAGACATCCCATTAAAAGAGACCCACATATGTACATTAAAACATAATAAAAGTTAGCTAAGTACAAGATACTTTTAAAAAATAGAAAACATTTAGCAGATAGCAGTTCTCGAGCTCCCACCATGTGAGAGATCTGAGCACTTTAGGGGATGGGTAAGCCTTGGAGTTCTTTTTGAGGTAAGTCACAAACTCTGTAGCAGTTCATCTAGGGAGGAGCTGAGCTCAAGTGAAGTTAGTGAAAATGTTTACATCTGAATCCAAGAAGGGCTTCTCAAGAGAGATAGCAACAGCTTTTGCCACTTACCTTTAAGCTATTTGATTTAACAGAGATGCTCAGCTATAGCATGCTCGGAAGAACAAGTGAAAAGGCTTCAGGATAATAATTGGGCTTCATGCTCAGGGCCCTAGGGTCAGGCAAAGTTGGGTAGCTATCTATGGATGCATCTGGGAATTTCACATATATTGCTTTTTCTTGACTCTAATTCAAAACATACGCATTGCCATTGAGTCAACCCTCAGCAAGTGTGACCCTAGAGGACAGAATAGAACTGCTCCTTCAGATTTCTGGGCCTGTCAGTCTTTATGGAAGCAGAGAGCCTTACCTTTCTCCTGCAAAGCGGCAGGTGGGTTCAAACTTGTGATCTTGCAATCACAGCCTAACTCAATCCACTGGGTCAGCGGAGCTCCCAGTCTTGACCAGTGAAGATATTTTTATATTTCATTGTTAGTATAGATAAATAGATGGAGATATTTATGATAGAACTATTTTGTTTGTGACATGAGAAAGTGATATTAGTTACATAGATTCAGAATATTTCATTGATATTAAACCATATGATCATTTTAGATACAACTAAAATTAGTGGTTAAAATGCTTTCTTCTCATTGACCTTGATATTCATTACATAAATTTGAAGGATTGTAAAATATAGGCATTTAAAGCAGATGGAAAATAATCTTACTCATAAAGATTTTTGCTTGCATAATTCTCTAAATGTATTGTGCCGGGTGGCTTGTGTTGTTATGATACTACAGAGTGTTGCACCAGTATCTCAAATGCCGGTAGGGCCATCCATGGTGGGCAAATTTCAATTGAGCTTCCGAACTAGGAAAGACTAAAAAAGACTTGACAGGCCACCTTCTGAAAAAATCACTACTGAAAACTTTATAAATACCAGCAGAACATTTTCTGATATAACATTCAAGTTTGAAGGCACTCTAATCACAACCAAGGAATAGCAGTTTCTTCAAAGTATCATCAATCTTAATGGCATGGATGGAGCAAATCTTCCAGGACCTTAGTTTGCTGATGTGGCATGATTCAAACTGAGAAAGCAACGCTGTAAAACAATCCATTAGTACTTAGAACTTGAAGGAAGTACAGCTGTAGGAAACTTGAATTCATCAAAAATAACATGAAATGCTTTAAGATCAATACCCTAGGAATCACTATGCTAAATAATGGACTGATTTGGCCATCTTGACACAGACAAGCATATGAAATGGGGAATAACAAGACTGAAGAGAAATGACATCATATTTGTGGTGAAAAATCTATCCTGAAGTATATCCCTGTCAATGATAGGGCAGTATTCAGACCTTTCCAAGGAAGGCTACTTAATATGACTATTATTTAAACTTATACTTCAAAAATCAAATCCAAAAATTAAAGAAGTGCATTTTTTCCTCAACTTTGTATGGTGATACGGGTTAAAATTAATAACAAATTGATTTTCCATTTGGCAACTCATACAAATTTTGATTTGTGGCATTGATTAAATCCCCACAGTGCAGTGGCATTCTTCCCACGTCTTCCCTTTCTTCACCATTTATGTTCATTCTTCTTCCTAACACTCTCTGCCTTTTGACTTTTACATCTGGGCAGATGGCCTTTTGATCTGCGATGATTGATTGTTCTAAGGAGGATGTACCTCCCTGGAGTCATTGCATACTTTATAGGTCTATCTATCTTTTGGCTGAAAGATTAGCCCGGGAGTTATTTCAGTACAAACAGAAGATTCTTAGCAACTTCTTCAATGTGAAATTAACCAAATATGCAATCAAGATGCGTTAATAATTGCTAGTGATTGGAAGATGAATGTTGGAAAGAAAGATCAGTAATTAGGAAATAGGGACTTGGGAGCACTGGGTAGCACATGACAGAATTTTGGAAGATCAATAATGTATTCATTGAAAATACCTTTTTTTCAGCAACATAAACTGTGACTATAATAGTGGGCCTTCCCAACAGAATATGCAGGAGTAAAATCAACTACAGCTGTGGACAGAGCTGGTGGAGAAGGTCTACATCATCAGAATGGCCAAGGGCCAACTGTGAAACAGACCATCAATTACTCATATGGAAGTTAAAGTTGAAGCTGAAGAAAATTAAAACAAGTATATCAGAGATGGTGAGTGTATCTTATCAGCCCACTCAGGAATAAACTTTATGCATTGAATACAAACAACAAAAGACCAGATGAATGGTGGAATGAGATCAAGGGTATCATACATGAAGAAAGCAAAATGTCACTTAAAATACAGGAAAGAAAGAAATACTAAATTGGATGTGAGAAAGGACTCTGACACTTGATGTTAAATATATGAGCTAAAATGAAAGAGAAACAGTACATTAAAAGAGCCACCAGAAGTTTTCAGAGGGTGGCTCAGGAAGACAAAATATTAGAATGAATTTTACAAAGATCTGGGGCAAAAAAACAAATGGATAGAACATGTTTGACATTGTTAAGAATCGAAGAAAAAGTTCTGACTTTGAATTGCAGTATTGAGGAGTCTATGGACTAAATATTGAATGACAGAGGACATTTCAAAAGAAATGTACCAAAAATAATTGATTTCACAAGGAAGCATATGATTTACAGTATTAATAAAAATCCAAGCTCCACAAAAGACTTAGGGGCCTTTACTAACTATAAGTTGAGTTGTTTCAACAAAAGCATACAATACAAGTGGTTATTCCTCGAGGCCAAGCAATTTGGAAGACAGTTACCTAGCTGACAGGAAAACACACTTTATCTTTGCTCATTCCAAAGAAAAGTGAACTGAAAAAATCAGAAAGCTATAAAAAAAATCCTTAAATGCAAAAAAAAAAAAAACCAAAGCAAAACTCACTGCCATCAAGTCGAGGTGGACCCATTATGACTCTGAGGACAGAGTTGGACTCCTCTGTAAATTTCTGATACTATAACTCTTTGGGGGAGTAAAAAACCCTTTCTCCACCAGAGCAACTAGTGGTTTCAGATGACTGACATTGCAGGCCATAGCTCAACTTGTAGCCATTGTACCACCAAGACTCCTTAACATCACACACGTCAAATTTGCTGAAGATATTTTTTAAAATGATTGTAGCAGTATATAAACAAGACATCTCTAGAAATCCAATCATGACTTAGAAAAGGATGTGGAATGAGATATTTCACTACTAATGCCACAAAGATGTTCACCTGGGTTTTGTTTAATAAGCAAATGCATCCAATTGTGTGGGCCATAACAAATTGCAGATAGATTTGTTAAAAATAGATCTTAATGAGTTCATGCAGAAAATGAAAACAGACTTAGAGGCATTTGTGCAAAATTATGGGAATACATCATGGATTAATATCAGGAAAGTGTGTGTCATGGTTGTACACTTTCACTATATTTATTCATTCTGTATGCTGTGGGAATAATATCAGAAACTGGACTATCTGAAGATAGCAGCAACACCATGAGAAGAAACTCGTTAACCGACTGCAGTAAGTGGATAACACAACCTTGTTTAAAGTGAAGGAGACTTGAAATACTTTTGGATGAAGGTCAAAGACGGCAATATTAAGACAGATAACAAGTCAGCATAAAGAAAGCAAAAATCTTCACAACTGAACTAATGAGCAACATTGTGATACGTGGAGAAAAAACAATTGTTATGTTGTTAAGGATTCCATATTACTTGGATGCACAATCAATGCCAATGGAGGAAGCAGATAAGAAAGCAAACAGCAACTGCCCTGCGCAAATCTGCTGTGAAAGACATGTTTGAAGTGTCAAAAAGCAAATGTATCACTTTGCATATTAATCCATGGTGTGAGCTTGATTTACGCCTTGGCATTCTCAATCACTTCACATGGATGCAAGAAAATGGGGCAATGAAAAAGGAAGATTGAAGAAGAACTGATGCATGTGAATCGTGATGTTGGTAAAGAATAGTGCGTCCAGTCTGCACTGCCAGAAACATGAACAAATACATCTTTGAAGCTGTGTAGTCAGAATGCTTCTTGGAATGGAGGATAGTGAGACTTTCTTAGGTAATATAGACATGCTATCGAAGGAGTCCGTTCCTGAAGTAGAGGGAGAAATATGACTTTTATTCCTGTAAAGAATTACAGTCTCAGAACCCAAAGAATTAGTTTGACCCTGTCCTATAGGGTCTTTATAAATCAAAACCAACTCAATGGCTTTTTAAAATAGTTTTATTGGCATGAAATTTGATTTCTATATTTTAATCATATTCAAAAGAAATGTACAATCATCAACACAGTCAATTTCAGGCCATTTTCTTCTTTCTAGTACTTATAGTTATATCTCCTCATTTCCTCCCAGCCTCCCCTGCCAGGCTTGCAATAAATTCACTGATCCTGGCATTCTTATTTGGGAAAATATACAAAAATTAAATAAAAAACAGCAACAACATGGACTAAACAAAACAGAGGAAAAACCTCACTTGAGTTTTTTTAAAAACTATCATGACCGGGAAAGAAATATAAGAGTGTCTGCTCCCCCGTAAATATTTACAGTCTTGCAAACATATGGGGCAGTTCTACTCTGTCTTAGTGGGTAGCTATACAATGGGGCACCCCCCCCCAAAAAATGGAATTGTTTTTCAAACTACGTATGTATATATGTATTTTTACCAAACAACATTATCACCTTCAAAATACTTTACACTTAGTACATTTGTCAGATCTGTGGTTCCATTCTCGGAAACATTTTTCAAACTGAAAATGGCTGTTTGGGATGGCTGATAGCACCTCCCTCGTTTTTTCTTTCACCTTTTCTGTGTCACCAATTTGCTGTGCTGTCATGTTCCTCTGCATTTGTGGAAACAAAAAGATGTCACGCTGAGGTAGGTCAGGTGAGTAAGGTGTGTGGGGCAAGAGAGGAATGCTGTTTTTTGCCAAAAACAAGTGCACTGAGATGGTGCGTGAGCAGCGCATTGTTGTGGTGGCAAAACCAGTACCTGTCTGCCACAAATCAGGCCTTTTTTTTTTTCGGTCACACACTGTTACCAAATCTTTTCAGAACCTCCAAATAGAAAGCTTGATTAACAGTGTGAGCTGGTGGAATGAACACCAAATGCGCTAACCCCCTCCCATCAAAACAACAAAAGATCATCTCCTTGATCTTTGATTTCACTTGACAAGTTTTTTGGCTCGAGGTGACAATGGCATCTTCCACCTGCTTCATTGATGTTTGCCGTCAGGGTCCTCAGAATAGCACTGTGTGCCCTCACCAGTAATGACCACAGAAAACAAGTCTGGGTCTGTTTGGACCTGTTTTTTCAAAGCACAGCATGTTTCCACTTGACGCTCTTTTTCCTGGTCAGTCCGAACTTGAGACACAAATTGCTCAGTGACCCTTTTGATTCCAAAATCTTCCATTAAAATTTGCTGAACCGAGCTCCAAGACAGTCCAGGTAACTTCCCCGTCTCTTCAATGACCCGTCCTGGTCTTCAAGCAAAAGTGCACAATTTTGTTGGCATTTTCATCCATTCAGGAAGTTAACGAACTTCCAGACCGAGGTTTGTCATCACTGGACATTTCACCTGTTTTGAAATGAGAAAACCACTCATATACATGAGTGTTTCCCATAGCGCTGTCCTGCTAAACTGTGTTCACCATTACAACAGTTTCCGTGGCACTTTTCCCGAGCAGGAAACAAAATTTCACAGCCGCACACTGTTCTCTTAAATCGGCCATCACAAAAACAAGGCGTGAGTGAAACTGCTTTTATGAAAAAAATTCACTGTGACCAGAGAGAACCTTCCCAGGTGACATTACCGGATGCACTAACTCAGAGCGAGTTGCTCTGTGCTGGGCTTGCCGGGGAAATGCATACTATGAAAGCTCTGCCGAGCTGAACTTTTTTCCATTGTGTGGGGGAGGGGAATACCCTCGTAAGCCAGAGTTGACTCAATACAGTGGATTTTCCTTCATCTTCTTCAGGTCTTGGGTAAAATGCTCTCTTTTGAAATCACTCCACTTGCATTGCAACCCTTTTTAGCATCCATTTATAATGACCCCTTTTCTGTTCTTTATTTTCTCCAGAGCACGTATTAGTTTATATGATACACTCATTTTATTTTATTTATCTTTGCATTGTCTTTCTCATCCCACCAGAAAATAAACTCCACAGGGCAGATGTTATTTTCATTTCTGTTCACGAACTTATTCCTCTTACCTAGGAAAGCAGTAGGTACTTGGTTCATATTTTTTAAATAAACAACCAAATAAAAGCTCTCCTTAGAAAACCAAGCCGAAGAGGTTAAGAAAATGCGGCATCACATATGTATGTGTTGGGGATGCCTAAAGTTCAGTGAAGCCACCGTCTCTTACCTCATCACCATCCTGTTACTGAATAGATTTACTCTGAAGAACTACTGAGCCAATGTATTATAAAGTTTAGAGGCTTGATAAAATCACACAGAAAAAATAATAGACAAACTGACATGCAAGATGGGTATTATATTAGCCAATTCTTCAGTCTGAACTGAATGCATAATTTTAATAATGCTACCTGATGGCTACTAAATCTTGATATACAGAATGTCTTTGTTCCAAAAACCTGTTCTGCATTTGAATTGTAAAATGGATACGACACATGTACCACGGATTCAAAAGTAAGAATTGTCTGGCTTTATTTGCACCATGTTGGATGACGGTGGGAACGCAAGCGAATGTAATGAGATCAAGTGTTAGGACTGGACTGTAACAAATAAGGTGCCGAAATCAGAAAGTAAGGTATGCGTGTTTTTACTCACCTGCATAATTCATCATCTCTGCAGCTGCGAATTACATGGAGACAAGTAGGGGCTGGAGCTACATCCACTGCACATGGCTTGCTGTGAAGAGCGTCTTTGGACTGCTGACAAGGTATATCAGATTGAGCACAGTCACAAAAAGCCAACATCTGGGCAATGTTAAAAGGCATATTTTGATAGAAGAACCTTATGGCTGCTTGGCAATGTTTCACATCACACAGATTTCCATTTGCTGAACAAGCTTTAAGGTAAGGGGCCAACTGTGCATTACAGACCCCATCCCCTACGCACGCCTCTGCCACTTCCAAGCAGGACCAGATTCCTTTGAAACCTGAAAGGAATAATATGCCCAGGTCATAGGAAAGTAAGCATAATGCTATATGCATGGAGTCTGCAGAACCCTGTGAGAAGACAGTGAACAAAATGCAAATGATATAACAATATGCTATTTGGGGCCAACATGCCTTTTTTTTTTAAAGAATAAGTATGAATTTACTGGGTAGTGAGCTATTTGAAAACTCGTTCATCTCTATGGATACTTATTAGGATCCAGAAGTGATGGGAAGTATATAGGGCCAAAAGTGCACAAAAGGAAACATCTCTGAGTCCAAGTTTCAAATATAAACAATAAATCTTCAAAAATTGCAACTGAACTATGTAGTTTGTTTTGGCTAAAGTCTCAATGACTCATTCTTTGGTGTGCTCTATTTGGAAGAGAATCTTAACCAAACACTTGATGTTGCTTTGCTGTCATATAAAGTCACAGGTACATGAGAACACAACACATTCTCATATACAACATTGAACGGTACAAAATTATTCCATTTCTGAGATAAAAATATCTATAGAATTGGGTGAATTCTTTGATTTTCACTGGACTGTATTTCCAAGCTCATAAATAAATCAATTATGGATAGACAGTTGTCTTTGATACATCGTTAGTGAAAGAAAGGTGATGATTTTGTTGTATTGGAATTGCTAAAGAACCACAGTTAATTTTGTAGTAGCAAATCTTTAAGAAGCCTGGTAACTACACTTTTAATTATATTTAACTATTTATACTGCAGGCCATAATTAAAATTTTTAAACATTACCATGATGAGAAAGAGTAGTTAGGTTCCATTTGAATGCATTATCCTTTTTCGTATTATCTAAAAGGAAAACAAAACAAAAACAACTATTTTATTATTGAGATTTTGTAAGTGTAATTAGAGACTATAGAATAAATTTATATAGAAGTTATGAAGCAAAAGTGTATAAACTCAACTTAACACTTATTTAACCTTTCACATTCAAATTTAGCGATACTCATAGGAAAGGAGGAAAATAGACAAAACCCTGAAGTATCAGTCACACAAGTAAAGCAGCCCTGCTATGCAGATTCAGTTATTTAAAGATTTAAACAAATGTTAATGTCTAGACCTTGGACACTGGAGTAAGCAAAGACTGAGGAGAAAGACCAGAAAGGGATAAGAATATTGTACAGAAAAAGCAAAGCAAACAAATTAAAAAGCAAATAAATAAAAAATGTACCCACTTAAAATTAATTATATTGAAATGCAATTTAAAGATGACTCCTACCTCTGCTCTTCTGAACTTCCACAAGTTCTTGAGAATGATGTTTATAGTATTAGAGAATCTCATTGATGGAAGTAACCTCAAAGGGCATTTACATTTAGATAGACCCTTACATTCAAGTAACATCGTCTGAATCCCTATATGTACTAGGCATCAGACAGAAGGCACAAATCTGCAGCCATTATCACTGAGAGTCTAACAGCCTATTAAGGGATAAAGACATAGAACACCAAATAAGGTGAAATGTGAGGGGCACTAGTAGCGATATGCATAAAGTGAAGTATGTATGGAAAGTCTGCTAGTGGATTAAGAAATCCAGCTATTTACAATTGACAGGGACAGGGTAGGGACTCCTGATTACTAAGAGAGCAAACGTTCTGCCTGCTAAGAGAATAAACAATGCACCCTGAGATAACAAGCCTGGTAAATGTCTCAACCTGACATCAAGCTGGGTGGATACCATCAGACTGGAACTGTAGCCTGACATAAAACTTGAAAAATCCTGACGCAGAACTATAGTCTGAGCTAAATGAGGAAGCGATATGCAGGAGACCAAAAGATAAACATAGCAATTAATTAGAAAGCAGCTTGACAGTCTATGGAGATGCAACCCCCACCCCTTTGAATGTGCCTTTGAAGCAAGAGGTGTTTTCTGAGACAGGGTCCTTTCTTGACTCGAAAGATCCCACTTTTCTGTGCTTAAGGATTCCTTCTCACCTTGCAAAGGGGACCTGCTCCGTTCTACTTTGAAGTTCCGCTATGCTTCGATAAAACATTTGCTTCACTCCTGTTGCTCTGTATGTGTGCGTGAGAGTGGCTTATCTCTGACATCAGACGTACTACCACCCCAATGGACAACAACCTTGCACTGGAAGCAGGATCTGGCATCCACTGCAGGACTGAGCATCACAAAAGTACTAGGTGACGTTCCTAATGTTTGTTGTGCCATACAATCCCCACGATTCAATTTGCTCCTGCTTGGGTCCTCTATCATCTGGGACAGATATATGATGACAAAATCACAATTTTTTTACACTTCATAAAAGATAACTCTTTAAATAATGATATGTCTTTCATACCCGACTGCATAAAATCCATCACATTGCAAATACCTCATTAACTTTTAAAAATTGATATGTAAATAAATTTGATATTATAGCCAACCTTTACGCTACCTCTTTCTCTATAACCCCTTTGGGAGTAATGAAATTACATATTGATTTTTTTAAGGAGTAATTGAGGCAGAAGTGTCATGGTTGAATCAGAAATAATATATTCTTTATTAACATATTTGTGATCATAGTTAATGTTCTTAAATAACAACCGGCCATGGTGTCATGATTGAATCCATCCTCATAATCTTCCCTCAAGGCTGGGATTTGATTTCCGTGGGCATCCTGGATACAAATGCCTTCAAATAAACTTCTCCAAATTTCCATGCAGTTTACTTTGTAGGAGTTATTGCATTGGCAATTTCAGAGAACTGTTTCTTTCAGATGTTCTCTTAATGCTACATACATGTGGCCTCCATGAAGGCTCTTTCGCTTCCTTAGGTTTTCTGAAAATTCTCATACAAAAGTATACAGTAGTCAGATTCCTGGCAGATACGTGCTGCCATGACATAGTCTTTTTTTTGACAACCACTACTGACATCATTAGGGTGGAGCCATTGTGTCATATTTGATTGTGAAGTCAGGTCTGGAGATAGCGCAGATTCACCTAAAAATAAAGTATAATAACTAAAAAGTAACTCAGTTTGCTTACTTATAGCCTTTTAATATTTTTCACAGGGACATAAGCATGACATTTAGAAACATTCCAATATATTTTCTATTTCAAAACCTGCCACAGTTGTTGAACCTGTATAGCTACCCTGGAAGGTGAGGTGGCACTACCTGACACAACTGGGAATGGAAATACCATAGGGCCCAGCAATACTTTCGTTGGAGACCCCCCCAAAAGCAAGAGAAACAACATGAACTGGCAAGCTCTCCCATGTATATAGCAGCACAATTCACAATAACAAGAAGCTGGAAACAATCCATATTCCCCTCAGTTGAAGAATGCATAAAGAAACTATGGCCATACACACAACGGCATACTGTGCATCTCTAAAAACTAAAAACAAAAAACTGCTAACATCACAAAATATCTCCTGGCATGGAATGAACCTGTATACTATTATGCTGAGTGAAATTGGTCAATCACCGAAGAAGAAATATTGTATGAGTCCATTACAAGACAATGACAGGCTCCAGTTCCCAGGAGCTGTAGCCTAAACTGGTCCCCAATCATTGAGGCAATATATATGCCTAGCTCCAATAAATTATATATCACCCCCTTCTTAAAACAACCACAACCACCACAAAAAACAAAACAAATTCACTACCTCCGAGTCATTTCAGACTTGCAGTGACACTATAGGGTAGGTGAGAACGACTCCTGGGGGTTTCCAAGACAGAAAGCACCACCGTTCTCCTGTGCAGAGACTCATGCTTTCAACTGCTGATGTTGCAATTAGCAGCCCAACATGTAACCACTCTGCCAGGGCATCCTTACCCCTTATTGGAACACCTCAAGAAATACAAGAGAGGCAGCTCACTACCGACAGGATCAGTGTCCTATGTTGGAGGAAGAAGGAGAAGACCAACTAATTTCCAGCATATGGCAGTGTTCTATGGTCACCCCAAATTAATAGATAGTTGTATAAGAACAGTTAGTGAAACTTATTGGGAGATCAGATCAAGAGGAGGTGGGGGATGCGGTTCATATATGCATTGGAAGGGGAAAATTCACTTCACATGGTTGGTGGGACATGCAGGCACTCAGACATTGTGAAAAATGCTTCGCTCTTGCTTGTTGAGACCTCAAGGGGAAAATGCATATTTTATTCTTAACTGGGTTCTTAGGACCCAGTTCCTAGCCAATCCCCAGTGACTCAGCCAATATGCCATACACAACGCAAAGATTACACTCTGAGCTATGTGATCCACAACGCCCTCTATAGGCTACACCAGAAAGACCCAAATTAGAAAGTTCACTAAGCAAACTGGACTTCACCATAAACTTATATCAGAACCCAGGCCTTGAAATACTCCATGAAATTCAAACCGAAAAGCCCGAATGGAAGATGATGCAGATGACCACTGCACCAAAATTAAGGAAAGAGTGAACATTGGACTATAGGTGGGTTTGGACCTATTGCTCTGAAGGTACCTAAGGAATGATGAGCCAAGACTAATGTATATTGACTTTTTTCATGCTCTCTCTTCATTTTATTCGATAGGGGTTAGTCTACCAGATAATGTCTTCTCCTGTAAATGAGAGCTACTGAATATATTGCCATGTATTTAGCCCCATGACAAGTGTTACTAGAACCCAATCTACCACTTCTTGGAGATATAGCTAACTGGTCATGTAACCAAGTCTGATCAATCCTACACACACATGACATTCTCTGCTCAACAACGCTGTACCACTGACTAAAATAATGCTACTATCAATAAAGTTGTACTATACCTCAAAGAGATGATTTATGATATAATAAAATGAACCAGGGACTTATAGAAATAACAGTTATAAAAAATAGATTTTGAGATGGAAGAAGATAGTGTCTAGCTAGATTCACCTGCCTGGAACTCCTGCTGTCAGACCAGAAAATTGGGAGGTAAGGTGAAGGAGACAGGAAGGCAGAGTCTTGAAATTAAAATCAGGGTACTAGGGTCCTGAACCCCGCTTTTTTAAAAATTTCCACTCACAAAGAGAACTGAGAATGCACTAAATTTCTCTAGGCTCAGCGTGCTGGGCTTGCGGACTCCAGCTGAGCAGCTACCAGCACCCTGGTTTGGCAGTGAGTAGTGATTTCCTCGGGCTGATGCCCCAAAGGGGGCATAATCCCAGACACAAGGAGAATCTGTGCAATCTAGTCACAGGATCCCACACCAGAGCTCCCCACACTGTTAACTGCCTTGAGCTCATAGCCTGGGGATCAGGTCGGTGGGTAGTCATTGATTTGGAGCAATTGAAAAGACGTAAGGAAATTTACCTGAGACAGGTCTCAGTGTGGCAGAAAATAAGCAGATAGTCATCTACGAGGGGGCCGACTTCAGTTCCAGTTGGCTGAGAAGAAAACAAACAACCTGTCTGATAAGCTGAAACTGGCCCTCTGGGGGTCAGCGTGACAGCCCCCAAATCAGGGCACCCCATAAGCCCAATATAAAAAAGAGACAAAAATATGTTCTCAGTAAAAAATGCAAATCCCAGGCATTGTTTAACTCCAAGACTACTGGTAGAATGAGTGATTTACCATACATTAGCATAAGAAGGGAGCGCATGCTAAGGAATGCCAGAAGTTAGCTACAGAGCTCAGAGACTGTCAACATAATAAAGACCCCTTGGAGCAAGCCTCAGTTTCAGAATAACTTAATTCAATTAGGGCTGGCAAGGGAGAAAAACAAAACAAAAACCTCTGAGCTATTAGGGCATCAGTGGCCCTGGGACAAGCTAGGACAACAAGCCTGGGAACAGGACTACTGTCCACTTTCAGTGATCCTACACAAAACTGGGGAGGCCC